ACCGGCTGGGCACGGGCAGCGCCGCCGGGTTCTGGGTGTCAGAGGCCGGAACGGGCTCCGCTCGGGGGTGCCCAGCAATGGGGCAAGAGGCAACGGGCACAAACTGATGCCCAGGAAGTTCCGCCTGAACAGAATCACCGAGGTTGGAAAAGACCTCTCAGATCATCAAGTAGGACCTTTGCCCCGACACCACCTTGCCTACCAGACCATGGCACTGATGCCACATCCAGTCTCTTCCTAAACAGCCCCGGGGACGGTGACTCCACCACCTCCCTGGGCAGCCTAATTACAGTGTCAGATCACTCTCTCTGTGGAAAATTTCTTCCTAATGTCCAATCTAAACCTCCCCTGGTGCAGCTTAAGACCGTGCCCTCTTGTCTTATTGCTGGTCACCTGGGAGGAGAGCCCGACCCCCACCTGGCTCCAACCTCCTTTCAGGGAGTTGTAGAGAGCGATGAGGTCTCCCCTGAGCCTCCTCCAGGCTTCCATGGAAGAACAACTTCACTGTGCAGCGACCCAGCACAGGAACAGATCGCCCAGACAGGGTGTGGAGTCTCCCTTACTGGAGATATCCCAGAACCATCTGGACACTGTGCCATGTGCTCTGGGATGGCCCTGCTGGAACAGATGGTCCCTTCTAACCTGACCCATCCTGTGATTGTGCCTGGGCACCACAAAGCCCAGTGAGCTCAGAGCAGCTCAGCAGGGCTCGGTGCCTCCCCTGCCCCAGCACGGGTGAAGTGGCTACACAGTCTCTCCTGACCTGGAGCCTCTCCAGCATCCCCACGTGGTGCTGAGGGGCCGTGGTGGTTTCTCACCCCTTTGATGCCCCTTAAATGAGAAGAAACCACGAGTGTGGGAAAGGCCAGTCCGGCTTCTTGGAGGTCAAATGCTTCCAGAGGGATTTAGTCCAGTCAGGTCACTGTTGCCCACTCAGGAACTCCATCTCCAGGATGTTTTAATTCAGCTTTCTCCAAAGTCAGCGTTACAGAGACATTTATTGGCTTTCTTGCAAAAGCTTACAACACTTTTAAAATAACAATTACAAGTACTCTTACCAAAATTCAGACTGAAAGAGAGTAGGGTTAGATGGAATATTGGGAAGAAACTCTTCCCTGTGAGGGTGGGGAGGCCCTGGCACAGGTTACCCAGAGAAGCTGTGGCTGCCCCATCCCTGGAAGTGTCCAAGACCAGGTTGGACAGAGCTTGGAGCAACCTGGGATAGTGAAGGCGTCCCTGCCCATGGCAGGGGGTGGAATGGGGTGAGCTTTAAGGTGCCTTCCAACCTAAACCACTCTGGGATTCTATGAAAATTTCAAAAATTCTCACAGCTTCCTGTTTACATGAACAGCAGCATAACAACTTGAAGCAGCATCTCATATAATTATTAAGCTGATTCTACCTTTTCAATATGTTCTATTACCTTTCAGAGGGCTCAATTAAAAAAAACACAAAAGATTTTAGGCTTGAGCTCCAGCAGAGCTCAACACACCATAGAGGAAATTATGTAAACTCATTAATTTTCTGGTGAAGGAAAGATTTCACCATTGCACTTTTTTTTTCAATCTAGAAAACAAGCCCCTATGCTGCAGGAAGAGACAGCAGCTCTGCAGCAGGGGAGAGAAATTGTTGGAAGTGCTTTAGCCTTGTATTAGGGGAAGCAGAGTTAGAAACCAGACAGAGAAGTGCTCTGAGATGTTCCCTGCAAGGTGACATTACACTTGTTTGCCACAGAGTGCACGAGCCAGGCAAGTTTTACCTCAGTCTCTTGACAGCAGCCTAAAGAGTAAATTTCTCCTCTCCAGCCCTTCATGCTTTGCAGTCAGAGCCAACTGAACTGCTTCATGGTGCAGTGATTGTCCCTCCACAGGCAGCTCTGGAGGGAGCTCAGCAGACAGCCCTGCTCCAGAACCATGAGCCTGCCCTCAAAACATGCCAGCATTTGATCACAGCTCAGTAAAACAGCACTGAAAACTTGCCAGAGGGAACTCAGCTCATTCCTTACTCCTCTGCAAGGCCTTGGCTGAGCTGTTTCACCCCACTGGGGCTCGGTTCCCAACTGTGGGACAGAGATAAGCAGCTCAAGCACGCTCTGTGTGTGTAGATCTGGGAGCACTTTGCTCTGGGCACTTTCTCCTCCTGTCAGGATAACTGCAAGTTTCCCAACATGTGGCCCTCAGACACCCCACAGTGAAGCAAATACTTGGCTACAGCTTCTCACTGTCACTGTTGTGAGCAAACACACCTGTGGCAGCAGTGCTGCAGCTGGGGTGGGAGCAGCAGGTTCAGGCCCTGGGGCACACGATGCTCCAGATCCCCCAACACTGCCCTGTGAGCCAGGCTGGGGGCAGGAAAAGAGGGAAAATTTGGAGGCAAGAGTGAGGGAGGACAAGGCCTGTAAGAGGCCAGATATTTACTGTGAGGAGACTGTGTGGAATCCTTTAGGTTGGAAAATGCAGTCCAACCCAGCACTGGCAGGTCCACAGCTAAACCCATCTACAGACCTGACTTCAGGGGAAGTTGAAGGATGCTCAGAAACCTTGCACTCAGCAATTCCAGTTTTCCCCACAAGGCCATGTTTTCAGGATTTCAAAATAACACACAGTAGTATTGTAATGCCTAAGAGAAAAAGAAATGCATGGCACTCAAATGCCTCGTGCACCTGCTGTGCTGAGGCAAAGATCTCCAACACTTGACTGTTGGTCAAGTCTCTCCTGCTTCTCTCCTTTTAAAGCCACAGAGAGATTTTAGGTTTCCTTGGCCCTGCATGATTTGGATAATTTCCTTCTCAAGTGGCAGAAATTACCTTTTCAGCTCTAGTAAGACACCAGCATTTCTTCTGCAGCTTTAACTAAGTGTGCAGAAATGGGGTGCAGATCCCCAGCTTCTGAAGGCTCTGCAGTTTTCATTAATTTTTGAGTGATTAAAGATCAGAGTTACCTCTGTGAAGAATTACCACTTACAACTCCTTTTTGCCCGAGGGCTGACCAGGAGGTCCTCCACTTCATTTACTTGAATAAATAGTTGATAAGAATAAAAAAGGAAAGGCTGGATGCCACAAAACATCAGCAGTGAAATGCATCAGATCTCACAGGTCATTTGCAACATGCCCTCATGGAGCAGTGACTCAGAAGGTGAGCATTCCTCCTGAGCACTGGAGAGGCTGCAAGGAGCAGGACCTGGAATCTGGGAACCAAGGCAGTGCTCCACTCCCCTGCCTGTCAAATGAGTCACTTAAATTTCGACAACACTTAAATAACAGCCTGCATCTCCCAGGCAGCAGCAGCAGACAGCACACTACAAACACAGCACTGTCATTTCCACATTACAAAAAGTGCAGGTGTCTCCACTCACACTCACCTGACAGAGCTCTGCAGCTGAGTTTGGATTAGCAAATAATCCATACAGAAACCTCCAAGAAAAGCAGGACACACAGGCCACAGCAGGAAGCTCGAGCTGCCTTTGCTACCCCGTGTGAAGGAGCAGGACACTGCTGTGTCACTTCCCTTGGGAAGGGAAGGCAGAGCCACAGCAGGCCCAGGGACAGGCACTCCTTATGTAACAGGGATAAAGGCTGCCGTGCCTGGGAAAGCGCAGGGTTGGGAGCCAGGATTCGTGTTTGCCAAACAACTTTCCAAACATACCCAGTCTGGCTGTCAACATCCTCCCTGCTCCTGACAGCCCTGTTTGTGACAGGTGTGACGGCTGCATCTACAGCCACCTTTGCTTTTCACAAGCCCTGGCTTTGCTCCAAGGGCAAAGGCTTCCTTTCCTGGCTCAGTTCAGGGAATTCAATCCATCTGGCTGCCTGGTCTTGGACAGACCTCCCAGGACACTACGTTCAGAAGGCTCTGATCCTCATCACGATCACGTGAAACGTTTTGCCTTGAAAGTAACAAAAGGAGGCTGGAGAGAGCTGAGGAACCAGCTGGTGTGTTGCTCCAGGAAAGTGCCCAGTGACCATTTCCACTCCAGTGTTGCTGCCCTGACCATACAAGGAGCCAATCTGCAATGTTGGCAGTGCAGTTTGTCACAGACAACTCCAGTGTTCCAGGCTCTGCAGTGGGTACCTAATGACTTATACACCACTGACAATTCTCAAGTGCCAGGCCTGGCTCTGCAGTTGATCTGGAGTGGGAAAGTGCCTGACCTCTAAGAGCCAATTTTGCTGTTCAGTCTTCTTTCCAAACAATGCTGCTAAGACTGATCACTTCACACCACTAAGCAGATGTTTCACTATCTTCCATTCCATTTGCCACTGCGTGACAAGAGCAGGCAGTGGATGGGAAGGCAGAATGCTGGCAGTTATCAGAAGTGCAGTCAAGCAGAATTCAGATGTGCAGAGTCCAGAAACTGCAGAGGATGTAGTGACCCACTCTACAACTCAGGAGCCCAGACAATTCCTGTCTTTCCTCAGGCAGAAACCTCAAAAAGCACTGACAATTAACATTGGGATGGTACTTTCAGGAGAGCAGAACTACAGCCAGCTGCAGTTGGCTGGATGGATGCAAAAGCTGGAAGTATTAGTAGATTAACAGATAAAAAACAGATTATTAACACTTAGAGGCACTTCATTTTCTAGATTTAAGCAGCATTTTAAAAAGTGTATCTTCGTAAAAAACATTTGAAATGCACCTTGGAATGAACCATTCACAGTCAGTGAAGCATCACAGACATGTAGAAAGAAGAATCCTTGGGGCTCTCAGATTCCCCCTCCTTGCTTCTTTCATCACATTCCAAACATTAATAATGTCAGCTGAAGGCAGCTGACACCCTCTGCAGTGCTGCTTGAATCGACCTGGCAGTGTCTTCTGTCACAGGGGACAGGTGAGTCACTGCAAAAGGTGGACAAGAGGCATGCAGGCAGTGGGACTGCACTGCCCCCTGTACTGGAGACTCAGCAGATGCAGAAAGATTAAAAAAATAAATAAATTTTAAAAATGTAACATCTAAAAACTGGTTCTAGTTTCCTCTTTGTCCTCTATTAAGAGTTAAAGTAGAGCCCCATAGCTGAGCTCCTCTCTCCTGATAGGAAACCTGAGCAGGGAGAGCAGGATGAATCACTGCTACTGGCACCACCAAGTGTCACACAATTTTTCAGGGCATTTCTCCCCTCCTAAAAAAGTCTTGTACCAGCTTGTCAAACGTCCGTGAGGAATTCTGCTTTAGGACATTTAAGGGAGTGAGTAAATACTGCTCTGCAAATCCAGCTGTAAAGTGCTCCTTGGAAACAGGTGCCTGGCTAACAGCAGTGGCTGCTCCTGCTGCTCCCAGCTCTTCCCCACTCAGCTTTCCCTTCCCTTTTTCCTCATCCCTGTGACAAGTGCAACCTTCTTTTGAGCAGAAAGCTGGCTCACAGTGGTGCTGCTGAGGAACCTCAGCACCTGTTAATGCTTCAGGTTTCTCAGTACATTTCTCTGGGGACTCAAAAACAACCCCTTGGGGCGCAGAATGCCGTGCAGCTCTTTTCCAGAGACACATGGGGTCCTGCCCCCTCCTTTGGCTTTGCTGCTGCACAGACTCTGGCAAAGGCTTTGGGACTTTGAAGTCAGGAAGTACCTGGGGGGTAGAGCTCAGGTATTCCTGAAAGTAAACCTGGCACATGTTGCCCTTCACAATGGGAATGATCGAGCAAGGTTTCAGCCACTTCACAAACTCGCACAGCTCCGAAAAAGACGAGTGATCCGAGTACGGGATGGGGTGGATCTTGGGGTGGGTGACTTTGACAGGCCTGCCCGTGGGGAGGATGGCAATGGTGGGGTGCAGAGTGTTCCAGGTGACCAGGGTATCCCAGCGGATCTCGGCAACATCCACGGCGCGGATCCACCCGGCCCCTTCCTCGGCGGTGAACACATCCGGCAGCTCCAGCAGCCGCATCTGCTCCAGGCGCCAGGGACTCACCACCACCCAGGTGCTGAACTCCACCGCCAGGTCCACCAGCAGCGCCTCCTTGCCCAGGGTGTACACACCTGCCAGGGGAGCCGGGTGTGGGACAGGGTGGAGAGGAACAGGAGCCCTGCCAGGGGGGGCTGCCAGCCCGTGACCACCAAACCACCCCCTCCGGAGGGGGTAAGCAGGTGGCTCCAGTTAATGTGAGTTACTCAGATCTTTAAAGCTGGCGGGATGAGGGGCTGGCACTCACCGATGACGACGTGGTGGTGCGGGTGGGCGCGGATGAGGCGGGCGGCCTGGCGTGTGGCCAGCTGGCGCGAGGGCAGCGCCCGCTGCGGGTGGCAGTGAGTGTTGTCCAGGTACAGCCGGTCGATGCGGCGGCCCCTCAGCAGCGGCTCCCCCTGCATGGAGCTCGTGTAGCGGAAATCTCCTGCAAGGGACAAGGTTGTCAGCATTTGCCCAGAGAGGGTGTGGAGTCTCCCTCAGTAGAGATATCTCAGAACTGTCTGGTCACAGTTCTGCGCCGCGTGCTGTGGGACAACCAGACGACCCGCTGTGGTCCCTTCTGTCCTGGGATTGTGTGATGGTGGGACCCTGCCCTGTACCTGTGTAGAGGATGGTGCCGAAGGTGCCCTCGAAGAGGAACATGACGGAGCCGGGGCAGTGGTTGGAGTCGAGCAGCGTCACCGTCACCTCGTCCAGCACGTGGCTCTGCCCCACCTCCAGTGGCCGGATCCAGCATGTTGGCACCTACAGAGACCAGGTGGAGAGGGCAGGGCAGCGCAGGAGGGGAGATGGGGGCACCTGGGTGATGAGGGCTGAGTGGGACAAGTGGGCGATGGAGATGCCCAGGTGAGGAGGGCGGGGCCAGACAGGTGGGCAGGTGGGGACGCCCAGGTGATGAAGGCAGGGCCGGGCAGGTGGGGCGATGGGGGTGCCCAGGTGATGAGGGCCGGGCCATACCATACCATACCATACCATACCTACCCGTAGGCGGCTGTGCAGGAGGCGTGCGGTGATCGGGGAGCAGTACAGCGGGCGGCTCCAGGTGCTGGACAGCCCCACCGTGTGGTCCGCGTGCATGTGGGACAGGAAGAAGAGGCGGGCGCCGGCCGCCCTGCGCAGGCTCCAGAAGTCCACGGCGATGGGGGTCCCGGCCAGCACCGTCCCGCTCATGGCGGGCGGGACCCGCGCCCCTCACAGCGAATTTGGCGGGAAGAGCCGCGCATGCGCGGGAGGCGCGGGGGCCGGGCCGAGCGTCAGGGGCGGGGTCACGTGGGCAGGGGTCACGTGGGCGGGGCCGGGGACCAGAACCGGGACCGGGACCGGGATTGGGATTGGTACCGGGACCTGGGACTGAGACTGGGATTGAGACCGGGACCGGGACCTGAGACGAGGACTAGGACTGGGATTGGGACCGGGACCGGGACCTGGGACTGAGACTAGGACTGGCATCGGGACCGGCACCTGGACCAGGATCCGGACCTGGCACTGGGATCGGGACCGGGATAGGTTCCGGGACCTGGGCGTGAGACTAGGACTGGGACCGGGACCTGGGCCTGGGACTAGGACTGGAATTGGGACCGGGACTAGGACCTGGGACTGAGACTGCGATCGGGACCGGGACTTGGGAGTGGGTCTGCGACCAGGACTAGGATCGGGACCTGGAACTGGGACTAGGATCGGACCCAGGACTTAGGCCCGGGACCATACCGGGGCTGGCCGTTGCCCGGGGCCGGGCCGTGCCGGGGCCATGCCGTACCTGGGCGGCGAGGAGGCGCTGCGGGAGCTCCGCCGGGCCCTGTCCAACCCGCACGTGCAGGCGGACCCGGTGCGGTACCGCGCCGCCGTCCTGCGGGTCATCCGGTACGGCGGGGGCTGGGGGGACCCGCACCCGGGGGACCCGCACCCGGCCCGGCCCGACCCGCGTGTCCCCGCAGGCTGATGGCGCAGGGCGCCGACGTGTCGGGGGTGTTCCCGGAGATGGTGAAGGCGGGCGCGGTGCCGGACGTGGTGCAGAAGAAGCTCGTGTCGCTGTACGTGCGGGCACAGGCCCCGCGGCAGCCGCAGCTGGCGCTGCTCGCCGTCAACTCCCTGCGCAAGGACTGCGCCCACCCCAGCCCGGCCGTGCGGGGGCTCGCCCTGCGCACCATGTGCGGCCTCAGGTGCGGCGGGGCGACCGGGGTGGTGGTCCTGGGCTGGGGGTGGTGATCCTGGGGCTGGGGTGGTCATGGGACTGAGGGTGGTCATGGGACTGAGGGTGGTGGTCATGGACTGGAGTGGTGGCTCTGGGGCTCAGGGTGGTGGTCATGGTCTGGGGATGGTGGTCCCAGACTGGGGTGGTGGTCATGGGCTAGGGTGGTGGTGCTGGGCTGGGCTGGTGATCCTGGGCTGAAAGTGGTGGTCGTGGGCTGGAGATGATGGTCCTGGGCTCGAGGTGGTGGCTGTGAGGCTGGGGGTGGTGGTGGTCATGGGCTGGGGGTGGTCCTGGGGCTGGGGCTGGGGCTGGTGGTCCTGGGACTGGGGATGGTGGTCCTGGGGTTTGGGGTCGTGGCTGTGAGGCTGGGAGTGATGGTCGTGGGCTGGGGTTGTGGTGGTCCCAGACTGGGGTGCTGGTCTTGGGTTCTAGGTGGTGGTCATGGGCTCAAGGTGGTGGTCCTGAGGCTGGGGATAGTCCTGGGGCTGGGGTGGTGGTCCTGGGGCTGGGGACATGCAGGTGCTGAGAGCACGTTCAGGCCTCAGGGCTGTGCTGGGCTCGCTGCGCTGCCTCTGGATTGTCGTGGCTGTAGGGCAGAGAGAGGAGGAAATGGAGGGAAATTAAAGGCTGAGAGGGTTGGGGCTGTTCAGGCTCTGGTACCCCCTGACCTGCCCTCCTGCAGGATGCCCGGGATCCAGGAGTACCTGCAGCAGCCCCTGGTGAACGGGCTGCGGGACAAGGCGTCCTACGTGCGCAGAGCGGCCGTGCTGGGCTGTGCCAAGATGGTGAAGCTGCAGGGGGACTGTGAAGTGGGTAAGGGGCTCTCAGGGGCTGTGCCCCTGGGCTGAGGGTGGTGGTTCTGGGGCTCAGGGTGGTGCTCCTGGGGCTGGGGGCACACTGAGAGCGTGTTCGGTGCTCTCTAGGGCTGCGCTGGGCTCGCTGTGCTGCCTCTGGGTTGTTGTTGTGGCTGCAGGGCAGAGAGAGGGGGAAGTGGAGGGGAATTAAAGGCTGGGGTGTTCACCTGGAGAAGAGAAGGCTCCAGGGAGACCTGAGAGCCCTTTCCAGTGCCTAAAGAGGCTCCAAGAGAGCTGGAGAGGGACTTTGGACAACAAGTGGAGGGACAGGACAAGAGGGAATAGCTTCCCATTGGCAAGGGCAGGGTTAGATGGGATATTGGGAAGGAATTTTTGGCTGTGAGGGTGGTGATGCCCTGGCACAGATTGCCCAGAGAAGCTGTGGCTGCTCCATCCCTGGAAGTGTCCAGGGCCAGGTTAGGTAAAGCTTGGAGCAACGTGGGCTAGTGGAAGGTGTCCCTGCCCATGGCAGGGGGTGGAATGAGATGAGCTTTAAGTTCCCGTCCAACCCAAACCATTCCATGATTCTGTGGTCCATGTGTATCAGACTGTTAATGATGCAGTGCCCCTTCCCTCCCTGCTCTTCCAGGGCCTCCCACAGCGCACAGCCATCCCTGAAATCTCTGATCAGCCAGGGGCTGTTCTCACCCCCACAGATATTCAGGGAAAAGCTGTGCCAAGGGCAGTCGTTACTGTAGGGCTGGTAGTTTTGGTGGCTCCTTCTCCCAGTTCAAGCCATATATTCTCCTTGTGACTAATACTCATAGACTGATTAAGCTGCAGTGTGCCAGCAGAATTTGATAGCAGGACCTCTGCTCCTTTGCAGATGGTGCACTGGTGAACGAGCTCTACAGTTTGCTTCGTGACCAGGATCCTATTGTGGTCGTGAACTGTCTGAGGGCCTTGGAAGAGATCTTGAAGAAGGAGGGAGGAGTTGTCATCAACAAACCCATTGCCCATCATCTCCTCAACAGGTTTGTTGTCTTTGATACTGATGAGGTGCTGGAACCTTCATTCTTGTTCTTGTGTTTTCTGTGCAGAGAGGGCATTTCTGGAGAGGACTTGAAGGGACCCTTGTCAGGCACCCAAAGATGGAGGTGCCCATCCTAAAGATAAACTGAATGACTTTTAGGCTAAAGTCTTAAGAGTAATCTGGAATGCCCTGCTTTTCCAGGGAGTCTTTGCTTCAGCTGGTGGTTTGTTTTGGAACTATAGGTTAATGTGATTAATTTTTTAGTGATAGTACACACAATATATTTGTAAACAGGTATGTTTTTATTATGTCTCTCCAGATCCATTGAAAAATATATAACTTATCCTTTGCTTGAAGAAATGAACTTATCTGCAGATAATTCTGCATGAGCTGGGAAAAGAGGGGTATTGCTCTGCCCAGGGTTCTTGTCAGTGTTGCTGTCTGGCCTAAACACCAGTAAGAGTGCACATGACTGATCCCGAGTTAATAACTGGGCAATTCTCTTGAGATAAAAAGTGTGCTACCCCCTTGGTTTGGAACAGAGACCATAAGAAACTCAGAGACTGAGGTCTCTGCTCTGCACAGCCCAGATCCTTGTGCACTCCCTGACTCCTGCACATTGTGTTTGTTGTCCTGGCAGGATGCCTGACCTGGATCAGTGGGGGCAGAGCGAGGTGCTCACCTTCCTGCTGCGCTACAAACCCCGCAGCGAGGAGGAACTCTTCGACATCCTCAACCTGCTGGATGGTTACCTCAAAAGCAGCAGCCCCAGCGTGGTGATGGCAGCCACCAAGCTCTTCCTGGTGCTGGCCAGGGAGTACCCAGACGTGCAGGCAGACGTTCTGGTGCGGGTGAAGGGCCCGCTGCTGTCTGCCTGCACCTCGGAGAGCAGGGAGCTCTGCTTCACCGCGCTGTGCCACGTGCGCCAGATCCTGGGGAGCCTGCCCGGCCACTTCAGCAGCCACTACAAAAAGTTCTTCTGTTCGTACTCAGAGCCCCACTACATCAAATGCCAGAAGATGGAGGTGTTGTGTGAGCTGGTGAATGATGAGAATGTTCAGCAGGTGCTGGAGGAGCTGAAGGGTTACTGCACTGATGTGTCGGTGGAGCTCGCCCAAGGGGCGATCTTCGCCATAGGTGAGAGCTGTGCCTCGCCTGGACCTTCCAGGTGGGCTGTTCTCTGCTGAGCTGTGTCTGGGCAAACACCAGATCACTGCTCTGTGCTGCAGCAGTACAAGACCAACCTCCCCAGCAGTGTTTTGTGTCACTGTGTTTCTAAACCACAACTGAGCTGATTCTTTTGGAAGTCCTGGCATTCAGGTTGTGCAGACAGTTCTTGACTCCCATCCTCTGATGAGATGCTTTAAAGAAATTGCATCATTTCATCTTGTTAGTCAGCCTTATAGTCTTCAGTGAAGCTTTGTAGTGGGTGGAGGAGCTCCAATACCTGCTTGTTCTGTGAGTTGTGATGGGGGCAGAGTTAAGGGGATTTGGGATGCTTTGGTTTTATTTTTGTAAGCTTTAAAATAGGTGAGTTTTTACAGTATTCGTAAGGGTGAAGCTGGGGATGCTAAAGTGCTTTTCTTAATGTATTACATTTAAGGAAAGTTCAGAAATCTTCTGAGGCATGGCCTCAAAAAAAGGAACATGTCCCTTGTGTGGAGAAGAAGCTCATTTGACTGCACTTTCATAAGTGGTTGTCAGAAAGGAAAAGAGAGAGACTGTTTCTTTAAAATGGGTTTGTGATGAATAGCTGGGCTCATGGTTCCTATTTCACTCTGATAAAAGGTTGACTTTTGTATGTCTTTTTGGCATCCTTGCAGGCAATATTGCCAGGACTTACACAGAGCAGTGTGTGGGGATTCTGACAGAGCTCCTGGGCCTTCAGCAGGAGCACATCACTTCAGGTAACCATCTGCAGGCTGCTTACCTGGCTTGTGCCTTCAGGAAGTGGCCTTGCTGGGGCTTGTGATCCCAAAATCAAGGCTCTTGAAGGCGTTTGGCTTTTAATTTATTGGCACCTTCATGTGGAAGTTTTCCTGGTGGGTTTAGGGGTACTAAGTGTGTTCCTTCCATAGGAACTGCTCTTTGTGGGGAAGGAGGACATGGTTGTAGCTGTGTTCTTGATCCTTTCTGCCTGCCACCTGCTGAATTAGGGAGTGAGTGACTCAGCAGAGACATTTCAGTGTCTATTTGAGGGCCAAGATGATTAATAGATCTTTTAAATCTCTGTGATTTCTG